CATCTTTCCAAGCAGCCTCCATGTCTCCAGTGTCTTTTTCCCCACTTGGAGCCAAACCCAGAAGGACATTTCTTTCATCAATGTTTTAAAGACATTTTGTTTGTTTGTTTGTTTGTTTGTTTTCTTCAAGCATGAATGAGATAACAAATATAAGTATAGACTTATGAATACACGAAATGACTACGAATACAAGGGAACATTAGGACAGGGATGGTAGGCAGGCTGGTGCGTTTATGCACGCCCCTTAAAGACCTCTTAGGAATGGGGTGAGGTCTAAGGTTAAAGTTTTTGGGGTTTGGGGATGAAACCACAGTCAGGTAGAGCATTCCAGGCATTGATCACTGTGTTGCTGAAGTATTTTCTGCAATCAAGTTTGGAGCGGTTTACCATAAGTGTATCTATTGTGAGCTCCTGTGTTGTGGTTGAAGCTGAAGTACTCATCGACAGGTAGGACATTGTAGCAGATAATTTTATGTACTACACCTAGATCAGACCAAAGACGGCGAAGACCTAAATTGTCTTAAGCACAAAATTTCAAGTCTGGTGGCATAAGGTATTCTGTGGCGAGCAGAGGAGTGGAGGACTCTTCTCGTGAAATATCAATCAACCATCCACTGAGCTTTCTGGGTCTGGTGGGTATGAACAAACCACAACGGGCTAATACATCGAAACAATTTAAATTCGAATGAAGGTGAATATACGTTTTCCCAGGATAATGTTGCAGGATCCAATCTGGGTCGATCACCCCGACCAGAGGTTTCGTTTCCCAAGCTCTCGGATTCATGCTGGAGGCCGTCCACAGGGGACTTCTCTCGAGCGGAAGATTAAGCCTCTAGTCCCGGTGACCGACCCAGATCCTGCAGAGTTTAAACAAAACCATGTTTAGATACGATTATATGAACCTGCACAGTGACAAGTCCAAGATCATCAGTTCAAGGATTTGAAGACAATTCTTCCTAAGCAACCGTCCTGGCTATTTTTTTTTATTTTAAAAACTTAAAAACAATTTGCGCTACTTGCATTTTTAATCAAACCTCCGCAATAAAAGAGTCAGATTTGTAAACTTGTTTTTTTTTTGTGCGATCCCTCCTGGTAAACCGCGAGAGGACACTTTTTAATGGGGAATCATTAGTCCTGGGGATTGGTTTCCCACCCGAGTGAGTTAAGGACGGACTGTTGGAGAGACAGTTCTCGCGAGGTTTTGGGCACTTCTGTCGTCACAACGGAGCGGCGGAAGAGGCTCAGCTGTTGACTTGTGTCCTGTCCATCGGCGGCAGCAAATACTTGGGGGTATCATGGCGATCTTCACGCCGACTAACCAGATTCGCCTGACCAATGTCGCCGTCGTGCGGATCCGACGGGCGGGGAAGCGTTTTGAGATCGCCTGTTACCGGAACAAAGTCATGGGCTGGCGGAGCGGCGCGTGAGTGGGGGCTGGGAGCCGCAGGGAAAGGAACAGAAAACTCCCGTTCGTGTCCGCTGACATTTGGCAAAGCCAAAGTTTCCGTGTTTACGCAGAGTGCGAGACTAGCCTAAATAAATAATCAGTCAATAACCCCCCAATTTTGCAACTTCTCTTAAGTTAGCAAGTTGATTTAAAATATTTACTTTGAAGCATGTGCAAATCGCAGGGCATAAACTCTGAACTTTGTTGCTGTTATAAATCAACTACTATATTTACACTTCTATATTCATCTTGTTTATATAAGTATTGTCTACTAACCGCAGTTCCTGGTAGTATGATAAAAGGATAAGCAAATAGATAGAAGGGCGTAGCATAAAATAAAATAAAAGGGTAAATATTTCAATTTATATAGCTGCCCATGTCATTGACATTTAAAATTTGTCTAAAGCTTGAGATAAATTTATATTCTATTGGCACTGACCAAGGGCTGCCCCAGTTACACCAAATGGATCATCTTTCAGAACAGATTTCACTTAATGAACAATGAACCTTCCTTATTTTGAGCTCTCAGACTAGAGAGACAAGTTGTTACATATTATTACCTCAATACAGAGGTTTCATGAACCTCCCTTCAGCCCAAAATAGACAGAATTTATTATATTTATTCTTGGAGTTTTACCACTTGCCAGCAAACAATAAAGTGCTCATACACTGCCTCCTGTTTATCAGTAAGTGGTGAACATATCCTGCTCATTTAACTGTTATAAAAATAAAGTAAAGAATAAAACACCACTGAGCAAAAGGTGTTGGCAAATTTAAGCCTTCTGCACTTCCTTTCTGACCTTTCACCACACAGTCAGATGTACCCATGAGCGTAAGAGAACAAAGCAGCTGGAGCTGCCCCATGTCTTCCCCACATCCCCATATATGTGCTAGAAACTGGAGAAAATGACAATTTCAAAGTAGCTTCTTTCAAAGCTAGATGATACAAGGAAAGCAGAACAAAATAAATAAATGATTAACATAGGGAACAAAATATGATTTAGGTGCTTTGCCTTAACCATGTTTTGTTCTAGTTTTATACAATATGCAACTCTATATAATTTGCCTTAGTTATGTGAATGTACCCTTTTCAAAATTGTCATCCTTATGATAAAGAACTTTATGACATAGAACTCACTCCCAAGTAAAGAATAATGTAAACTTTTGTTTAAATTATTTAAGTTTCTATTCCCCTGTTTGCATTGCAAACCAAAAAAGATAAATCTTTGCAATGTATTTATTGCCTTATAACATCTAGCCTGTTTCCCTGCACTTCTTCCAGGGCAAGAATTTTTAAGAGGTCCTCTTTGGAAAACTTTATGAATAGATTTGGTTTTGAAAAGACAGTGCCTGATACGGCTTTGAAGGAAATAACCAACATTTTGAATTAGGTCTGGAATAGCAATAGCACTTAGACATATACCCATTCACTGTGTTCCACAGCCCTCTCTATGCAGTTTACAGAGTCAGCATATTGCCCCCAACAATTTGGGTCCTCATTTTACATGAAGGATGAAAGGCTGAGTCAACTTTGAGCCGGTCAGGGTCAAAATGCTGGCAGTCGGCAGAATTAGTCTGCAATATTGCATTCTAACCACTGCACCACTACAGCTCAGTGGTTAGAATGGAAATTAGCAACCAGTACAGTGATCTTAAAATGAGTGTTATGATATACTGACAAGTCTCACAATGTGCAGTTTTGAATTCATTCCCAATGTAGCTCCATGTAGCCCAATGATTAGAACATGAGATACTGTCTTCAGGGCATCTTGGTTTAAGTAGTGTTGATACTGCAGCACTTAACCAAATTTGGGTGAAGCCACTAAAGCCAGAGGTTCTACCTGCTGCTTGAATAGGAGGTGCGAGTTACAATCATCTCTTTCAGTGGAGACACAACCTCACTAAGTAATTATTGAGTCAATATTATTGGATGGCTAACTCTTTACTGATAAATAGCAGATAGGACTTTGCGTTT